GATGGAACTATTAAACAACCAACGACCCGTGAAAAAGATCTTGAGGATTCGATGAGCGTCAACTTTATGTCGGTAAGATGGCTCATGATCGACCTCAATAGATCCCTCTCTTACAACCAATATTGCTTACATCGAAAGCGTATGTGATCTTTGGGAAGACTTGAAGCAACATTTGCGATCAATGATGCAATGTAGATTCATGAACGTAACCCAAGGAACTGATTCAGAGATTGATGTTGGCAAGACAGACAACCAATAACAATCTATTTTGGTCGTCTTACAACATTGTGTGACGATTATGATGGGTTTGGAAATGTTCCTCAATGCACTTGTGGTGGATGTACCTGTGATCTAAAGAAATTGTTTCGCAAACATGTGGAAATCGAAAAAACACATGAGTTCCTGCGTGGACTCAATCATGAAACTCTTGGTACAATGCGCTCCAATATACTAAGTTAAGATGTTTTGTTGTCGCTTACCATGGTGTATTATATGGTGATACAAGAAGAGAGACATCAAAAAATGGCTCGGGTGTGAAGGAAAATAGGAGGTGGTGACCTTTGTTACCTGAACAGAAACTGCTGGCGGAGAAATAGACGCAAAGATTAAATGCATTGTTTGTAAGAAAACCGGTCATGCAACAGAAAATTGCTTCCTCCGGACTGGCAAGTATCCGGAGCGTTGGTTTGATAATCCAGGTAGAGGACGCGGAGGAAGAGGCCGCATCGGACCTGGGAGGGGATGTGGACGTGCAAGACCTCATGCAATGCATGTAGGTGAATTCCATGACGATCTAGCAACACCGCGAGAAGTCAAAGATGGATCCATGCCTAAGCCTGGGTTTACTGATGAGTAGTACGTGGCAGAGTTTTCTCAAATTGATGGAGAATTGTAAGGCAACCTCTTCGGAGCAAAAACTCACATGTATGAAAATCAATAATGAATGGCTCCTAATTAAATTCTAGAGCATCCTATCATATGACCGGAGATGCTAAATTTCTGAAGAAGACATAAACATAGCTCCTTTTCTAGTTATGTTGCCAAATGTTATTGCTCAAGCCACTCATGTTGGGGTTGTTTGGATGAGTGCACGACTACAATTGAAACATCTTTTGTAGTATCCAGATTATAATGAAATCTAACTTATGTGGCACATTAATTGATAATCGAAAATGTGATATATTTTTACTAATAATTTGTGTGTGATACAGGACCTACTTACGAGGATGCCGAATGGAGTGGGTGATCGTCGAGGGAAAGTTTATTATTTTCGGAGTCTGGATCATGCTCAAGAGCACACAGGGGCATCATCAGACTCAGGTGACTTGGGGCACTCTCAATTGGCGCATCCATCAGTCAAAGTTTTACGTTTGGTTAAATGTTTGATTAAAAATGTGATATCGTCTATTTTGATATCACATTTTTAATCAAACATTTAACCAAACGTAAAACTTTGACTGATGGATTCCCCAACCGAGAGTGCCAGAAGTAACCTGATTCTGATGTTACCATTGAGTGCACTTGAGGAGGATTCAGACTCCGAAAAAATATATTCCTCCTCCTCGATCAACCACTCCAATCGGCATACTTGCATAGGTCCTGTATCTCACACAATTCATTAGTAAAAAATATCACATTTCATTGCAATCAATCGTGCCAAGGAAATTAGATTGCATTGCAATCAAGGTACTAGCAAAACACGTTTCAATTGCAGTCGTGCACTCATCCAAACATTCCCAGCATGAGTGGCTTGGGAAATATTGCCATTATGCAACATAATTGGAATGAGATCTATCTTTGCATTGATGTCTTCTTCAAAAATTTAGCATCTCCGATCATACATGTGAGTTTTCCCCCCAAAGAGGTTAGCTTTCAATTCTCTACCAATTTGATAAAACTCTGCCACTTCTCATCAGTAAACTAGGCTTAGGCATGGATTCGTCTTTGAGTGCTCACGGTGCTGCTACATCGTCACAGAATTCACCCACATGCATTGCATGAGATGCCGCACATCCACACCCCCTCCAAGGTCTGCCGTGACCTCTTCCTTTGCATCCTCTATCGGGATTGTTAAACAACCATTTCAGATACTTTCCTTTCCGGCGGAAGCAATTTTCTACCGCATGACCGGTTTTGTTACAAAAAGTGCATTTGATATTTTCGTCTCTTTCTCCGCCAACGGTTCCTGTTCGGGTAGAAAAGGCCACCACCTCCGATTTTCCTTCACGTTCTTGAGCCATGTTTTGATGTCTCTATTCCTGTATCACCATATGACACACCTTGGTAAGCGACGTCAAATCATCCAAACTTAGTATATTGGAGCGCATTGTAGCACATGTTTCATGATCGAGTCCAAGCAAGACCTCATTTTTTTCGATTTCCACGCGTTTGATAAATAATTTCATTAGATCATAGGTACATCCACCACAAGTGCATTGAGGAACATTACAGAACCCATCATTATCGTCCCACAATGCTTTAATGCGACCAAAATGGGTTGTTATTGGCTGTCCATCTCGCTTGCATCCCCAAATCAATTCCTTGAGTTACATTCATGAATCTGCATTGCACCACTGATAGCAAATGTTGCTTCAAGTCTTCCCAAAGATCACATACGATGTACCTGTAAGCAATATTGGTTCTTAGAGAGGGATCTATTGAGGTCATGATCCATCCTACCAACATAGAGTTGATGCTCATCCAATCCGTAAGATCTTGTTCCCTTGTTGTTGGTTGTTCGATGGTTCCATCAAGGAAACCCACTTTCCGTTTTGTATGGAAAGCGCGGTTTTTAATGAGTTTCATTGCTGCCGCCCATTCTCGATAAATGCTCTCTCCATTGAGAACAACTCCACAAATGTTTAAACTCGTAAAGTCAGAGTTTGGCAGTAAATATGGGATAAATGGGTCATTGATTTTCCGTCGTTCATAGTCGAGGTGGTTAGAATGTCCGTCACCACTGTTTCCTGTTGCGCCGCTGATCATGTTATTGTCGTTTATGCGTATATGGTATGTCCCAGGTCACTGCTCTTATAGCTTGAAAAAAAGCAAGCCTGAAAAAAATGTTTATCCAATTTTAGCATGGTCATCAATTTGTGATCCATGCAAATATATTCAATTGTGTTTAACTACTATCACCCGCTACAAACTTGTGTACGAGCTATAAAGTAGGATATTTACAAGGCTCTAATAATTATCTACCACAACCAAATAGACTACAACTCCTTCGGCAAATATTCTACGCTTCATACGTACGAACGGTTGGAATAATTTGTAACAATAATAATATGTACCAATGCGTAGTAATACTCAAGTCCAACAATTTTAGTAATATTCAAAAACTTCTCTATTTGAATTGAGTTCTTTGAATTTCAATTATAAAATTTAAAGGACGAAAATGTTAACCTCAATATAGTATAATCCGTATATCATAAAATCAGGTATGAGAGTTAGTAACTGCTCTAGCAGTGCAAAAAATATTTAAACTCAAAAGTATATGTAATAACTAACATAAATTAATACGGTTGTATACTAAAGGATTATGAATTGAGATAATTTTTAGGTGATCTCGATCGACAATCTATTGGTGAGTGGTGACATGAATTTAATGACTTGCAAGAAGAAGCTAGGTGGTAAAATACTTATACAGTAAAATGAAATGAAAAACAAACCAATACCCAAATTGGTAGCTAGCTATCTATTGAACCAACCTTCCATAATAAAAAAGAAAAATCATCAAATATAACTAAAACATACACGAAGTGCACAAATCAAACTTTCATTGTTTTTTCCTAAAATATGGCTCATTCGCTCTTAATTGAGGGAATCTTATACTTTATAGAATTAAATAATAAGTATTATTTTGAGAATAAAACATAATTACTCCTATTATACATTTTGTCTATATTTTATTATTCAAAACCTTTTTCCAGCAATTTGTTTAATAAAACTATTAAAAGGAAACATCACATATATACCTTAAGTAAAACTAAAACATATATACGAAGTATACTCTAAAAAAGGACCACTATGATTTTCCTCCTAAAATAGGACGCCTAATTGGAGAAGTTTTAGGGGAATTGTCCCAAATTAGGAGTAAAAATGTCAATGTATTTCAAAATGAGAAAATTGTCCAACAAAGGACTAAAACTCAACCTTTTTCCCAAAATAGGACCACATGCATGTTTTTCCCTAAATAGGACTAACCTTACCTTTTTTACCCCTAATTCTATTTAATTAATTAATTGATCTAAATAATTGCCTCCCCTAGTTTCCTTGCACAACCAAGACAGTCCATCAGTGGCGGGGCAGTCCGTGGTGGCTGCAGCACTCCGGTAGCCGGTTGGCGGCAAATTCCGGCGGCGACGAACTCCGGCAATTAATTAACCCAATTAATTGCCCCCCTAGTTCTCTTGCACAACCAAGGCAGTCTGTTGGTAGCGGGGCAGTTTGGTGGCGGCGGCAGCTTGGCAGCGGCGGCAGAAGTGTTGGTAGAACTCCAGAAAAAATTCTGGAAATTTTTCCGGCGGTGGTCCCCGGAGCTTCGGCGGCCGGTGGCCGGTGGCGGAGGCAATCCGGCGGCGGTTGCAGGTGGTCGTCAGTAGGCAGTAGACAGCACTCCAGGGGCACTAGTGGGGATATTATTGTCCAATCACACATAAAAAAATCCTATTTAAGAATGTTTAAACTTATTGGTCCTATTTTGGGAAAAATGTCATGTTTTGCTCCGATTAAGATAAATCTCCAATTTCAAAATAGGACTAATATGTTTTCTCTCTAAATATATATGAGTAATTAGTGTTATGTTTTTCAAACTTTATACGGAGTAGTGTTATGTTTTTCAAACGTTTTTACTCATATTTCATTAAATTTTTCCAAAATTTATACTCCGTAATTTTAATAAGATACCTAATTCCTATTTAATTTATAATAAACAACATGAAAACCGTCAACTTCTATTTATACACTTATAGTTTGGACCCATTTCTTAAAAGCAAACACGCACTTTCCACATTCTACTTCCTATATAAAGGTCTCCTGACCACTCCGTCTCACTCATTAATTAATCAAAATTGAGAAGATAGCTCTAAGCACATCAGTTCTATTCGATCATCATTAGATAGAAGTTAGTTTAACACATATAACTAACCACATTCTGAGCTAACTTTAATATACATAAATTAGATCAACTTTATATTACTATAGCACCTAGCTATGCCTTTCTCTGCAGCTCATTTGACTTTCCTGTTTGGAGTCCTAGGAAACATAATCTCATTCATAGTCTTCCTCTCCCCACTGTGAGTAGTAGTACTAGTTAATTTCTCTTCCTATAAATATACATTTATTTGTTTAATGGCTTATACATGGGTGGATTCTAGATTTGAGGGTGTTTGAGCTGAACAACTATTATACTAGACTTAAACATTAGCAGAGTGAGCTAAATATAAAACAATAAAAAATACACTAAGATTTTGGAAAAAATTGAATTGTCTTGAGCTTCAGCTCATCGTAGACCATACGTAGATCCTCCTATATATATATATATATATATATATATATATATATATATATATATATATATATATATATATATTACATTTTGTGAATTATTACAATTATTAATTACATTCATATATAATATATGCAGGCCGACATTCTATAAGATTTACAAGAAGAAATCAGGAGAAGGGTATCAGTCAATACCATATGTGGTGGCACTGTTTAGCTCAATGCTATGGATATACTACGCCTTCCTCAAAGCGAACACCACCCTTCTAATTACCATAAACACCTTCGGCTGTTTCATAGAAACCATATATGTCAGCTTCTTCATGTTCTACGCCACCAAGAAGGTGAGGGTTCAAACCCTAAAGATGCTTGGTCTAATGGTGGTTGGGGGTTTCGGCGCTGTCGTCCTCGTCTCTCAGTTTTTCTTCAAGGGGGCGGTTCGTGCCCAAGTCGTCGGTTGGGTTTGCCTTGTTTTCTCCTTGTGTGTTTTTGTTGCCCCTTTATGCATTCTGGTAAGTTTTTACTTTTTATTATGGTTTAATTCTCTCCATTGGTGGAGCCAGAAATGTATTCTTAAGAGGCTGGAGCTTAGAAATTTTAAATTTATGAGGCCACTAATATTGGAACATTGAGAAGTAACACGATTATTAAGAAAAGCGAAGTTAAGTGATTGATATTAACTTAATAAAGTAAGAATAAAGTAAAATAATTTACAACTGCACAAGTTTTACCAAATTCGGTAGAAAACAATCTTAGTGAGACAAACCAAAAAGGAAAGATATCACAATCTTAACACGACGGAGGGATGCACTCTACAAGTTATAAATATTTATACATAGATAGATATATATGTAAAAAAAATTGGAAGGGCTGAGGCCCCTGTTGCCCTTCCGCGTCTCAATTCTAGATCTAAAACGTTTATTAAAACATTCCCTAGTTTGATTTCCAAATAAATATCACTGTTATTAGTGTTATACATATACTCCGTATTTCGACTGAAATGTTTCATTGTTTTTTAATGTTAGCTAGTCTCAAACTGTGCAGTTTTCACATTCTTATTGTTCAATTATGTACTATAAAGTTTAATTGGCCAAACTTCAACTTCTTCCAGTCAAATAAAATTAAAGGGTATAGAAAAAGTAGAAATCAACCTATAAATTTTGAGTTCCTTCTATTTTAGGTTCAAGGCGAACCCTAACCGGTTGTGAAGCATTTCCGATTTCTTATTATATACTCGTATCATCTATTTTAGGATCTACTATATACGATAGTATTCAAGATTCATAGTTTGCCCATGCTTTGATATATGTCACACTACTTTTATAATCCAGTAACGAAATGCTCCGAAACTCTTTATTTCGCATAAAATAACAGTGAGACCTTTCAAAAAACAACAGAAAGACATAAATAGAAAGATGCACCTTTTACATTTCTAGATTAACCTGATTAGATTGACCTTTTAAAATAGAAGTCTCAATTTTAAATTACATGGTATAGAGGCAAGTGATAAGGACAAAGAGCGTGGAGCACATGCCAATCCTCCTCTCAGTGTTCTTAACGCTGAGTGCAGTCATATGGTTCTGCTATGGTTTGCTCCTTAAGGACATAAACATTGCGGTAAGTACCTCGATCATCAATTAATTATACGGAATCCCTTCTACTACATATATACTTTTTTTTGTTCTTTTTTAGTTGACCGTCATTACATTAAATTTTTATTAGTAAAAAAACATTAAAAATCAAATTATGATAATTTGTAATGAGACGAATTCCACAATATTTTTCAAAAACTAAATTTTCGTACATTATTAATAAATAAAGTTTAATCAAAGTAGAGTATATGAATAGTATAAAAGTTTTCATGTTGCCACTAAGGAAAAAGAGGAAAGTACATACTCCGTATATACATACATACAAACACTCATGCACATATAGTTGGAATTCAATATGTGTTGAATTGATTAAATCGTAATTAGTATATATCATTATGAAATTAATTAGAAAATTCTATAAATAAGATTAAAACCTGAATGAATTAAGTTCATAAGGACTACCACGTTGTTTTGTTTCTAAAATAAGATTCATCGTGTTTTGGGAATTTCTAACTTATTCTTTTAATAGAACTATAAATAGGGAATAAAACATATTTAATCTTATTTTAAAACTTTGTGTATGTTTTGATCCTAAGCAACTTCTAATTTAATAACATTCACATAATATTTATATATATACGTCAATGTAGATTCCGAATGTGCTGGGATTTTTCTTCAGCATTCTACAAATGGTGCTTTACATGATGTACAAAGACAAGAATATTAAGAAGGACAAGAAGCCGTTTTCTGCCGCCGCCGAGCAAGTACTAGTCGTACCACAGGCGCCGCCGGTAGTATTAGTCATTTTGACGGATGAAACACAAAAGCACAAGCTGCCGGGGTTGTCGTCGGAGCTCACCACCGAACACCTCATCGACCTCGTCAGGCGCGGCTCGCTCATCTGCCCGGACAAGATTCAGTTCCCTCCGGCGGCGGCGACAGCGGTGGCAGATGTGCACATTCCAGTGTTGTAATTAATTAATTTAATTAGCTGCATGCCATTCCGGGCAGCAAATTAATTAATTAATTAATGATGAAGAAAATCATACGCACTGCACACATATATATTATTTATATAGAAATATACGGAGTATATATCTAGCTAATTAATAAGTCTATAAGTCAACTTCAACTGCATGCATGCACGCAGATTTCTATATACATAATATTTACGTTTGTGTTACGTTTGTTTAATTTGATGTAACATTTTTATTCTCTCCTAAAGGCTGTGTGTAATTACTTGTTGTTTCTATACACTATTTCCAGCAATAAAAACAGTGTGTTATTCTTTTTCTCTGTATAATTAAAGTGCGCGTTCCTTTCAAAAAAAGGAATTAAAGTGCGCGTCTTGTTCCTAATTCCTCATTTACTTGTCACAAAGATACATCGTACTTTTTGTACTGTATTCCTGTCCCACCATTAATGACGGTAGAAGCTGAATTTTACTTGGAACCGTTGATTTTATTACATAGAAGTCACCGCAACTCGGCGTGGACCGTGCAAGAGAACGTATATTACCTCCCTCGGTTGATGAATTTGATGGATGCTTTTTTGGAGGTATTTATGACGGTATACAGTATACTACGGAGTATATTACTCCTTAATATAACATTCACAAAATTTGACTATATTGATTTTTCTTTGATGAGTAATGGTCATGTTTATTAAAATTATTTGAAAATATAAAAGAGAGAATTCTTTAAATAAAAACGTTTTGAAATTTCAAAATAAGACTTTCATGTTTTTTTTATTCTTTGAATAAAAGTAAATTTCTGTCAAGTTTGACATTACTAGGCTTTAAACATAGTTTTTTTTCAAACTTGGCAGATTACTAATCCTATTCAAGGGATAAAAAACATGATAGTTCTATTTTGGAATTTCAAAACGTTTTTACTTCTATTTAGGGAAATTTCTGAATATAAAATTATATAAAAATAATAATGATTCAAAATATTTTCATAAAAATATAGAATTTAAAAATTCACGCAAATGTAAAACTAAAATATATTAATCATTATTATCTAAAGTTCACTATCATTAATAAAGAAAAGTGAATTTAGTTAAGTTTTGTCCGGAAAAGTGAGTACATTCTTACAATGACATTCACTCTCAATAACTTATATTTTTTGTATCATAATATTATTTCATGGTTTGACTTGAATGAATATTAAGAAAGTTCAAATTGTATGACTAAAAATTGTGGAGATAAGAGAAATGACATGATCCCCAATTCTTTTTCATTTTTTACCTTGCAAGGTCAACCACAAAAATCAGTGAGGTAGATGCGGGAGGACATTTGACAGGTTTTATTCATAAAGGCAAAGGGTACAAAATTTGGAGGGGACCAAACCTAACCCGAAATAACACAAATAAGATTATTTTTGGAATACCAAAATAATCCATCCAAAAAGCTCTTCTAGCAAAAATAGAAAGCAAATCTGTTCTTTTTCATAAAAGGACATAATTGAAGTTTATTTAGGGACTGACTAAAAAGGAAGGAACAAGTATAATTTTAGGATGGAATATATTTATTTTAAGAAGACAAACAAAAAAAACTCTTATGCAAATAAGCTAAGTCACTTGAGGATATATGCACATTTAACATTGTTTTTTTGTTTTATTCCTAAATATATTATATACGGAGTACTAATTAATGAATAAATAATAAAAGAAGTTAATTATTTAATTCATTTGGTAATAATAAACAAGTTTTATTTTTTGAATCAGTACAACAACAATCATCCTATGCTTGATGGAGTATATGAGCAGGAATCCATGGCCAATCCACATACTCACAAGGCATCATGACCTGGCCCAACAGACAGAATCATGATCTGGCCCAACAGACACCAGAGAACACCCTTTTTATTTTTCGTTGTTTATGTACTTTTTGGTTCATTTAAGTATATAAAAATACGTGTAGCATTAATTTGTGCAGTCTTATTAATTTATGTGAGATACTGAGATCTACAATAGTGAAAAAGTAAGTTGGTCTATTGGTGCAAGCTATGAAATGATTGTTAAATAATACGGAGTAATTATATTATCTTTTATAAACTACTTTGTTCTTAGACCTTTTTTGGACAAAGCATTTGTTATAATAACATTTCTTTTGCCCAAGTACTACTTGCCCCGTCATTAGTAAAATAATCTTCCAAGTCCATTAAATAAAAGTTTTATTTATCCAAAAGAAAGTCCCCATTCAATAAATTATTTAAGATTTTTTTGGACCTAATTATTAGTGTATATTTTAAAGATATGGGATGAGAATGTCTCAACAAATCAGGATCTTATCTGAAAATTGCTAAAGAAAAGGGACCTCCATTTTAGGATGTTTAAATTTACTGGTCTGGTCTGGTCTGATCTGGTAAACGTCTGGTCTCTATGTATTTTATAACTACGAAAGTCTGGTCTGGTCTGGTCTGATCTAGTCTATTCTGGTCTGATCTGGTCTGGTCTGATCTGGTCTGGGACTGAAAACAGTCCAAAAGAAAACATCCTTAGTCCCCATGGGCCAATGCAAATCCAATCTCAATGATTTTTTGACATTATTTTCTAATTTTGTTGAATTATCTGTTATAGAGCAGGAGGAAGTCATGCTTTGGAATTGGAACCATGACACTTCGTGACTCTCAAGAAATCACCATTTCCAAACTCGTTTTTAACTATGAAGTTCAGAGAGCCTTTGGCGAGACACAACAACTACTCTCTTTTGACAAACAACCACAAATCCCACTCCTCCAGGCGTATTCTGATGCCTCAGACATGCAGCTATTATCATTCTGATGACTCTTTCTTTTCAGATGACTTTCTAGGAGATGCAATCGAAAGTGATCGTCGCCCCCCTTTATCAAAGAAGGAAGAACTTAAGAACTCCAAAATCCAAATTCAATAGAATGATATGCCGTAAATCACAGTAGGTTACACTCGAAAACTGTCTGGCGACAGAAAATCTACGCACGCAACTCAAAATCTATAGGAAATCTCAAAAGAACAAAAGACGTCATAGCATGACGACTAGATCAAAAGTTAGAGATTTCCCTTGGATCTAGTCTTTGTTTTTCTCTTCATTTCTTTTTTGTATCTTTTTCTCTTTTTTTTTCGCACTCTAATTTTCTTATTTTATGAATAGTCACCGTGCACCTTATTAGCTCGCCAACACCCTGATCGCCGACTCCTAAGCCCTTTGTGAATAAGGCCTTATAATAGGATAGGGAGAACTCTTCTTGTCAGGCCGGTCTGACGGGATGCTCCGTCCAGCCGAGCCCGTTTGGGCACCTTCCCGGTGGAATTTTTTGATGAATTTTTTTAAGCATGTTACTCATCAAGTCTAGTTTGTCCATACCAAATTTCAGGTCAAAATTCGATCGGGAAGACATTCAAATCTTTTTTTGAAGTTGACTGCGTCAAAATATACATATAAAAACGCAGTCAACTTCAAAAAAAGATTTGAATGTCTTCCCGATCGAATTTTGAGCTGAAATTTGGTATGGACAAACTAGACTTGATGAGAAACATGTTTTAAAAATTTCATCAAAACATTCCTCCGGGAAGGTCGCCAAAAGGGCTCGGCCGGACGGCTCTCCCGATCAGGCTGGCCTGACATGATGATTTCTTCTCTTTTTTTCAGTCCACGTCCCATTTAAGTCCTACGACCCTTTCATAATGTTCAAACGTCGCTGCTTAATAGAATTATGAATATATCTGGTGTTAAGGTCTTCTTATTACTCCAGCAAAAACTCCCTAGCACATAGCTTCCTAGAACCGTCGTTTTCCTTCAGTAAAGATTTTTCAAACTTAAACTTTTTTTGTTGCCATCTGCTAGCCTCTACCTCATATTTCAAATATAATTCCATATGATCACTATTACCTCCATTTATAGAGGTACCCCATGAATTTTCCATTGTTAAAATACCTTTTTCTAGTAATGCTCATACTTATTTTAGTCGCATTGTACTCCTAGTTAACTATTTAGTACTACCTTTGTGTCGCCTTAGCTTGAGATTTTCATTGCAAAATGACACAATTACTAATAAAATAATTAAATAAGGTAATTCGAGTATATTTTGAGAAATAACTTTAACTTATAAAATAATGAGGTCATTGATAATAATTGTGATGTTATAAAAATCTATTGTTTTTAATAGGGAAAGTTCCCGAAATAGGATTAAAAAAGTTTCGAAATTCCAAAATAGGACTTTCATGTTTTTATTCCCAAAATAGGACTATTTACTGCCAAGTTTGGAAAATATTGTCATGTTTGAAGTCTGGTACTGCCAAAACATGGCAGTATTTAGTCCTATTTTGGGAATAAAAATATGACAGTCCTATTTTGGAATTTTCAAACTTTTTTAGTCCTATTTTGGGTAATATCTCTTTTTAATATTGATGATTAAATTGTGATTTTAGAGTTCTAATTCTTTCTTAAAATAGAAATGAGAATCTTCAATTGAGACATCCAAAATATGAAAGTGAGAACCTTAAACTGGCCCAGGGGTTCTGATTCTTTTTTAAAACACATTGATTATTTAAGTTATTCCGGATAGAGTTTATTTGATATATTTATGGGGGTTTTCCTTAAATATTACTAATAAAAAGGACGTGGACAAAATTTTTACGGAGTACTAAGTAACTATATTAGTGACTACAATTGTATTCAAAGTTTACACCATAGTACCTACTGTAAGTGACTATGGTGTAAATTTTGAACACAATTATAATCACTAAAGGTTACTAAGTAATACGTAGTATTTCTGTCCACCACATCTTAAAAGTAATGTGATAGTATTAATATAATGGAATTTTTTATATATTTATCTCAGGCCACTAATAAAATTGTTAGGGCCAATTATAAAATATTAAAATGATTACGAATCTAGAATACTCTTGATGTTAATTAGGAACCACTTTAACAATACCAAGGATAGAATGAGGAAGCCGTCTCGATCAGCTCGTCGTTGACTTACTCTCCCTCATGGGAGGTATCAGTTCAATACTTAATTGAGTGAGTTTGATCTCAGTTGACTCAAGCTCCCTCAATGCCCTCACCCCAACCGCATGAGGTAAAAAAAACAAATAATGCCAAGGATAGAGTTGGTACTATTTACTTATAATAAACACCTCGAAGTCAACAACAATAAATAATACTCATATTCCATTGGTTTGATATTTTGAATATCCTTAAAATCTATTCGTCTTTTAAAATCTGAATCTCCATACTTTGATGGGATTTGAAAATCTCTTTGTCAAATTCGAATGGAATGCATCTAGATTCCCATTAACTTTTAATTATTTGGAGTACACCATATTTTCTTAATCACATGTACTTCACTCCTGGAAAATAGCATTGGCTGCCCTCTCAACAACAAAATATCATTGGTTTCCCATACAAATACAGAGAGTACTACAATACGGTCAACGAATTTCAACGGAGGGAGTTTCCCGGACCAAATATGATCACCAAAAGCGGGCAGCATGCGCTTCAGCCTTCGGGCTCGAACTGATAAATGTCCAACTAAACCCGCTAGCCCAATCCCTAAACACGTGTTTGAATGAATTTGTTAATAAAAGGAGTCACAAATTAATTGATTAAAAAAAGTGATAATGTTTTTGGGAAAATAAAAAAACAGAAAATTGACAAAGTTGTAATAGACCTAGGGAGTATGTACTACTCCGTATTATTTAGGGTATTATTTAGAGTAACTCTCATTTTCCAGTCCATGGCTTTGCTAATTGTATATAGACTTCGTATGAATTGAAATGATATGTGAAATTTTACAAGTACAAATGTACAATCATCATTCATCAATGTATACAAATCAAATTTCGTTCTACGGATGAGTGTGGAATTCTTTTAATTCTTATATCACTACAAAAAAAACACGGGATTGGCAAGGATTTTGGCACGGATTTGACACGGATTTTGGCAGGGATACGCCAAATCCGTGCCAAAAACACTTTGGCACGAGCTATTTGGCACGGAAAATTGATAAGTCCGTGCCAAATTCCGTGCCAATCCCGCCTTTTTTTTGTAGTGTATAATTCGTATATCTCATGTCAAAGTAATTGTTTTATTGAACTTCTTCTAATGCAATAAACGTTCTTCACGATATTTCAGGAATCAAATAAAACGTGTGAAGTGTTTATAGTCAGACACTTCAGACTGGAATTATAAATATCACACATGTGACATGTATGTGAATTCGATCGATTCAATAGAATTATGTGTAGATTTTTTAATGAAAACTTATAAGCACGTGATCTATGAAGTGTGGATTATATTTATAAAATTTTAATTTAAATTTCAATCTTGAAGTTAGTTAAAAAATTATTGAAAAACGCTGCATTTTATGCATATTTTGGCGCAATATTTTTCAATAATTTATTAAATTGTATTGACTTCTCAATTGATTTTTAAATTAAAATTTTGTGTATATAAAAAAAAAATCTCACAAAACATGTTATATACTAAACTTGATGAAAAACATGCTCACAAATTTCATAAAAAGGATTCCAATTAGAAATCTAGTAGTGTGATATGCTTATTATTTGATTAGTTTATTAATTGATTTCATTCATAGTTGATTGTTTGATTTCTTAATTGTTGATTTTTATCTAGAGTGTTAGTGTTATAATTTGTTGATTTTGTTAGACAAAAATATTCAATTATAAATAAATTTATAATTTTAATTAATTTCAAGGTGTAATAAAAATGAATGAATCTAGATATGATAAAGAACAAAAGAGAAGAATATTATAGGAAGAGGCGCTAAGTAAAAAAAGGTTTAATGTAATAGTTTGTTTGTGTAAAGAATCAAGTTTTGAATGTCCTCCTCAAGATGAGAACTCATAGAAGATGAATGATTTAGCTATTGAAAATGAAACAATTTAGTTGAGGAAGCGCTCCAGTCCAGCTTGTCGCTGACTCACCTCACTTACGGGAGGTCTCGGGTTCGAAAATGGAGTGAGTTTCAACCCTGATTAATCCAGGTCCCCCAACCCTCCTCCCCCAGACACCCCCTGGAGTTAAAAAAAATGAAACGATTTAGAATGATCATATCATTGGAGGGGGGGGGGGGGGCATTTAGGAGTTAATAATAATAGAGTTAATTTCTTAAATATGACTGAAACATTGATACTTGAACCACCGCCTCGCTTCAGGAAATTGAAAGCGCTCAACTGGATTTCCTTTTCTTTGGATTGTCTAACTGATGATTCAGACAGTTTCGGCTCAATAGAGTATCTTTGTTAGTTGCAAGTCAAATCAATTATCAGTTTTCAATTCGGTGGCTGCAGGTGAAGCCGAATTTTTTATTTGTAATTTTTTTTATTTGGAGTAGCAAGTGCAACAAGACTGTTAGAATAGACTATACGATTCATGGGATATTTTCCAGTCGAATTATCATCCCATTGTAGTTTTGGGCTATTCATTTACATGTTTCTTTGCTATTATTTGATTTTGATATGAATAAATTTTTTATTTGATTTAAAAAAAAAAAGGACGGAGGGAGAACAATATTTTTGAAAAATAAGAAATGACGGGTGTAAATATTAAGAAGATTTCAAAATAGAGTGACATAAGAAAATACAGTATTGTATTGCAAAAGTGTACCAATATCATATCCACATCAAAAGATTAACAAAAGACTTATGTACTTTATAGAAAAACGATGAATTTCTATGAATTTAAAATAGAAATTATGCAAACAACAAATATAAAGTAGAGCTCCAATGATGACTCATCGCAATCCTAAATAAAAAACATGGATTTTATTGAATTTAAAATATAAATTATGTGAACAATAAATACTCCGTTTAAAGTAGAGCTCCAATGATGACTCGTCACAATCACAAATAGAAAAACGTGAATTTCATTAAATTTAAAACACAAATTATGTGAACACCAAATACAAAGTAGAGCTCCAATGATGACTCGTCTCAATCCCAAATGAAAAACCTCATTAAAGAAGTCAAGTACAAAGAATGATCCTATTAAATTGGACCACGCACCACGGGTCGTCTAAGAACCTAACTTCTTTTATACGAAGAGTGCAGTTGGTGATCGATAATGTTCAAATCCCAACTGACGTAAACCACGACGACAAGATAAACCAAGCAAAGCAAAGCAAAATCTCCACGATTGTCCGGCCATTAACCTGTGCCACGGCTCGACCCGCAGCGGGACCCACCTCCATTATTGTCCCCAATTGGTCCTCACTTATTGGCCCTTCCATCCTCTTTTTTACCTTGAGTAATCAGGGATGAAACTCACTTCATTGAGTTTTGAACCCTTATGTGCCTAGCGGATTCAAACTCGAGACCTCTCACTAGGCACGGTAACGGGTAACCTCACAATCAGCTGGACTGGAATGCTTGATTATTGACCCTTTTATCCTTTTATGAACTCAACTGGATTCATGAGCTCATTCATTCTGTGCAATTCAATTCTCTATAGAGAAAATTACAAAATTTGGGAATGCAAATAGATAGGAAAGGCACAACTGGGAAAAAGAAGGGTCGAATTTGATGAGCCACTATAAATGAAAACGTGTACAGAAAAGCGTTAGATTTTTAAGTGGCCCGGTTTGGGCATGGCCTGGATGACATTGGAAAAAAGCGTCATGGGACCCGACGTAGAAACAGGTCGACCTGATATTTTATCATTGGATGGATGGCCGACGACGCATATTCTAATGACCATATATGCACATTGACCAATGAATATATCTAGCTCAATGGATTAACGATTGCTATAACCTCTCGGGTTAATGTCTCAAATCCAATCCTTCGCACAAGTAGCATGAGAGTTTCAATCTGCACAAGTCTTGAATCACCTCATTCATGAGAATATTGGATTTACATATTCACTATTCTGTCATGGTGTGTGAGCCTTCAGTATAAGCGATTTCACGTTTCTTGAATCGATAAATGTATTTAATCTAACTCATACAAAGTACAAATAATTAATGAAATAATGCAATAGCGACACATCACTATTACACATGGCGTACATATTTTAGGTACCTTATTTTTACTAATTAATTATATTGGGTGTTGTAGTACTCAATATGTGTATTTGTGGTTGATCAAGAACCGGATGTAGAGACGGCAAGAATCTAAATTAAAGAGTGAACTTCCAAACTTTATCTTTAAATATAGTAAAAATATTATAAATTTCAAAATAAGACCATTAATTTTTTATTCTCTAATCAAGACTAATTAGTGTCATATTTTATCATTATTAGACTTTAAATGTGATAATGTTTTTAGAAATTACTCTAAAAATAGAACTACTAGTATTTTATTCTTGAAATAGGACTTGTTAAAAGTAAAACTTCCCCTATTAGGAGTGAATACGTCCTGTTTTAGGAACAAAACCATGATAGTCATATTTATGCACTTTATTTTTGTTTTAGTCGTATATAAGGAATTTTCTCTAATATTTTCCAAATTTGGCAGTCGTCACTTCAATTTAAAGAATAAAATTATATTAGTCCTGTTTTGAAAGTCTAATACGTTTTAACCCTTTTTCGTGAATTCTCCTTCATCTTTTATATAAAAGTGGGGAAACAAACACATATATGATAAAATAATAACTATTGTATAATACTTTCATTCGTTCTTTTTTAGTTGCACGTTTCCATTTCCATGTTTGCCAATGTGCAACTTTGATCATTGATATTTTCATTCCTTATTAATTAGTAAGAAAACAACAACAAACCCTTTTAAATATTAAATACTAGTAATATTTAATTTTTCAAAACCTAAATTTGTAATAAATTAATTAAAAAATATAGCTAGATTAGAGGCTGTAGAGCAATGTCAAATTAAGCATGTTATTTATATACGTAGTATATTTCAAGACACTACTATCATATGTACTTGCGTAGCATAAAGGAGAACCACCAATACGATGTAGCTGGGAATAACAATATTAACACCTGTACAATCAATAAATAAAGTGTACGTACGTCATGAACATCACACGACATATGAGAGAGATATTATACAAACGAAATGAAATACAGGTGGAGTAGCAAAATAAAATTACTTGAATTGCACGTACAATCACAATAACAATACAAAAGTTGGCGGCTAGTGAACAAATTTTCCACATTTCCTCCCTATATAAAGACCTCCCAACCTTTCTTTCCTTTCATCATTCAGTTCATTCATTCTGAACTAACTTAGCTTCATCGGTTCATTTCATACTATAAAGCCGACCCGACAGATCATCATCAGATATAGAGTTAGTCAGTTAGCATATACATAACTCTATTCTGATCAGATCTTGGTGGCCTGCTTATTAATTTACCCACAACTTAAAGAGTATATCATCAGTTCAATGGCTCTCTTGGGTGGTCACTTGGTTTTTACTTTTGGACTGCTTGGGAACATAATCTCTTTCATTGTTTTCCTCTCTCCTTTGTAAGTTCTAGTATTAGTTTGATTTCTCTTTCTTTAACTAATTCATTTACTTATTGTACGTATTTGGTCAACTAATCTATGTGGCTTGACCACACAGGTCAAGCCACACAGATTTGTTTTAGGACATGCACCTTCTAACGGCCTCATACTAATAGGTCTAGGACCTAATTGGACTTAGATTTTTATTGATTCCATCTTATATATTTGGAACTAATTGTTCGTGTGACGGAATTTATATAGGCCTACATTCTATAAGATTTACAAGAAGAAATCAGCAGACGGGTATCAATCGATACCATATGTGATCGCGCTCTTCAGCTCAATGTTATGGATATACTACGCCTTCCTCAAGGCGAACACCACCCTTCTCATTACCATAAACTCCTTTGGGTGTTTCATCGAAACCATTTACGTTAGCTTCTACATCTACTATGCGAGCAAGGAGGCGAGGATGCAAACACTGAAGATGATTGTTATGATGGAGCTCCTAGGTTTTGGGGCGGTCGTCCTCGTCTCTCAGTTTCTGTTCCAAGGGGCGGTTCGTGCCCAAGTTGTCGGTTGGGTTTGCCTCGTTTTCTCCTTGTGTGTTTTCGTCGCCCCTTTGTGTATTGTGGTATGTGTTCTGTTACTCCCTGAAGTTTTTCCATCTTTCTTAGCTAATTCATATACTTGAACATAAATACGTACGAATTACTAATTACATAGTACTTCGTACGTATTTATGTTCAAGTATATGAATTAGCATGCTTTTATTTGAAATTGGGACTAAAAGCATGTTAATTTCTTGTACTTAATCATATGCAGAGGCAAGTCCCAAAGTTGTTGTGCGCTTTAATAGTATTTTGGGTACTTACATACGTAGTATATGCGTAATTATTTCAATAATTAAACTTCTTGCTAACTAATTTCTATTAATCATGCAGAGGCAAGTAATCAAGACAAAGAGCGTTGAGCATATGCCAATTCTTTTATCAGTTTTCTTAACATTCAGCGCTGTCGTGTGGTTCTTCTATGGTTTGCTTCTAAAAGACATAAACATAGCGGTAAGTACATCAAATAATGATTCCTAAACATACATACATACATAAGATAATGATATTATAAGATAAAAATTATTTTATCTTCTACTCACACATGCCTGTATTTATATATGTAGGTTCCAAATGTGTTGGGATTTTTCTTTAGCATTCTCCAAATGGTTCTTTACATGATTTACAAAGGGAAGAATGAGGACATGAAGAAGCTTCCCCTGCAAATATCAGTCCCGCCGAAGTCGCCGGTGGTGCTAGTGCTGGAACCGGAGGAGAAGAAGCTGCAACGGCCGGAGCTGACGGAGGAGCAACTCGTCGATATTGTGAAGCTCGGAACTTTCCTTTGCTCCGAAAAGATTCATTTTGGGAAGAGTAACCCGGCCGAGGTGGAGATTTCCAAGCTGGACATAGACCCGAGACAGACCGTCAACTAAGTAAATACGGATCAAGTAGTTAAATTAAAGTCGAGAATCCGATCCACTTTATGAGTATGAATTGGGTCATTCGCGTGCATGCATGCAGATTCCGGCGGCATGTTTAATTTATGTTATCTGGAAACTGGCTAGCTAGCTGGTTCAAGTAGTTTGCGTAAATTAAAAAATTTTACCTTTAGATTTGTATATGTAACTCAGTAACTTAATTACGTGCTTTTTCTACTTCTATATTTTTCCCTGCAAACAAATGGTAATTTGTTCTTGACTTTTGAATATACGTACACCAATTTCCACTTTATATATGAACTCATTTTGATTTTGTAACATTTGTTTATCACTCACTATATATTACGAAGTATACGGAGTAAATTTTAGTGACTAGCTAGTACAGTAGTACTTGTTCATAAAATTGCTAAAAATACTGAAATACGACTAAAACATACGGAGTACATAAAGTACACAAATATGAGTAATTATATTTTATTTTGACTTAATTGATCTTATTAAAAGTGTATGTCTTCCTGAATTAAGAGTAAAAGAGACCGAACTTCAGGAAAGATCATTGATAATGCAATTTATGCGCTTTATTTACTCCCTCCGTCCCTGAAACAACTTCTCATTTTCCTTATTTGGATGTCCCTAATTTAACTTCTTATTTCCACAAATGGCAAATTATCTACATCAAAACAGTGTCAAACAGTGTCAAACAGTGTCAAATAGTGCCAAACAGTGTCAAAACAGTAAAATTTACTCTCTGGTAAGTTTATTTCCTTAATATGTGTGTAGGTCAAACCGGGAAGTTGTTTCCGGGATGGAGTGAGTATATTTTAATACTCCCTCCGTCCTCCTAACTTTGTCCCGCTTTATCTTTTTTGTCCATCCCATTAAGTTTGTCTCGTACCATATTTGGTAATATTTGGGTGGTTATAATTCATTCTTACTTTATTCATACTTTATCAATTCAATATCGGTCACACAATTCCACTTTTTCTTAAAAGTTGTGCCACACCTACCCCTTTGTCCCAAACATAGTGGGATAGAGGTAGTACGTCTTATTTAAAGTATTTATCTACTTTATGCTTTTTGTTGAAGAAGTTTCTATGCGGGAGATTTCAATAAGTAGGACCAAATCATACTAATTTTTCAAAATGAAGACTAGAGTACATATTAGCCTAAGACTTAAATCACTTGCTTTGACCAAGTTGCCCTTCCTTCAAAATCCCCCTGCGCACAAACAAACTCAATCGATGCCATACTCGATCGATTCCTTCGATTCCTCTACGCACAAACTCCATCGGATGCACCAGCTCCATCGGACGCCGACGCCAGAGGCTTCTCCTCCTCCTCCTCCTCCCCCTCTTCTTCTTCTTTTCTGATTTTGGACATTGAGTTTGTCAATTTCAAACTTCTATTTCATATTTTCACAAGGCCACTAGGTACTCTGCAAAACTTGTGAAGAAACCAGATCCAAAATCAAACTTGCAAACACCAAACAATACGTAGACAGTAAGTAGTCAGTAAACAAACAATAAGTTCTCATTAAACAGATAATAAGTTATGATAATAGCTTAATAGCAGAGCAGGTATTGTAAAACAATATATATATATATATATATATATATATATATATGTATGTATATATATGTATATATGTGTATATATGTATGTATGTATGTATATACAATTCACTATATCTAATCATGAAATTACTTCGAGAGGTTGTCGAAAACACTGCAATGAAGCAATATAGGTAATCTAGCCCTCTGTAAAATCGTTGACAGCCATTAATGGTTCCTAGAATACTTCTATTTGGAATCTGGAAATTAGAGTCTCGATGGAGCTATAATTGTTGATTCCCAAGCATTACACTCCGGTGTTGAGGTCCGACAAGAGGTAGCCGATGTGAAGCGCGTGGCTGTGATCGCGCACCTTCGGCAATACCGTGTCGATGCCAAGCCAGTTGATATGAGGGCAAAGAGACGGAAAAATTGGGGATGCTATTAAAATGAAATAGAAGGGTAAAGTTGGAAAGTCACAATAAGAGTTTTCTGAAATAGTACTAAATAAATCTACAGATGACAAAAACATGAAGGAGTCTTACTTTGGTAAAATGTCTATGATTTAGTCTCCCATAATGCAATTTTCTCGTTTCTATGCCCCATTTGTATAGACTCTACCCGTACTATCATCATCAAGTATATAATCAGATTCGTTGTAAAAAAAAAGTACATAATCAGATTCAAATCATAGAGTATCCTACAAAATAAACGATATTGAGTGTGGTTGTGTTTTTGTAAGGGAGTAACGTGGGAACCGGGAACCATGGATTATATGCCAAACACATTCAAATTGGCCGAGTTTGGAATACTTAGGTGAATTGGTGCTATATACCAAACCTATTATCGGATCTGCAAAAGGGGGAAAGAACACATAACCCCACCTGGAGATTTCTCCTGAACTAAGTCGAGAGAGTGAGTTATTCTTCAAATCTGCTAGTAACGGCTCTCGATCGGACATGAGTTTATGGAGTGTGATTGTGGTAAAAAGGTTTCTCTTCTAACTTCTTGGACTGATAACAATCCTGGAAGAAGGTTTCATGTGTGCGCTAGAAGCAGAGTAAGAAGTTCAACTTTTAAATTTAGTTTGTTTGCTTCTATTTTTACTAAACAAACTAGAAATTTAAGAATAACATTCGTATAATAAATATGTTTGAAAATCAAAATGTATTTAATTTTTAGCTAGGTTCTACTAATAAAATTACCATCTTCTATTTGTTGGGGGCATTTGATCATGTATTTTTGTGTTCAAAGCAGTAAAAAGTAAGGTAAGCTTCATGTTATATTGATACAGACAAAAGGTTGCAGATTTTTTGAATGGGCGGACCCACCTATGTATCATCGTTTAACAATAATAATTCCGGGATTGCTTAAAAGACTCAATTTCTAAAGAGGAAGAGGTTGTAATTTAAAGTTGAAGGCTAAAAATAAAAGGCTCCTCATAGTTGTTGTGGGGATAGTGTTTTTGCTCCTGGTCTTTCTCATGTTAAAAATGTGACAAGTGAAGATGATGTAACATTTCAAGAGTGCTAGGTAGCTTAGGTTGTTAATTAGTACCACATTATGAAGGCGCAATAAGACATTATTATTGTTAGTGGCCGTAAGCTTTCCCTAAACTTTTAAAAAATCATCTTTTATTTTGAATTGACAATGCTATGTACTTTCAAGTTTATGTTTATGAGTGAGTGATTTATGTGGTCTGAAGTTTTAAGAAGAGTTGGAGATAAAATGCTTTATTCTTAAAACATGAATCCAGAAAGCTTGAAACTTCATCCAAAATGCTCCTGCTGCAACGAAGAAGAAATAATAAAGCTTCTCTGAATGAAAAAAGCTAGTTTTTGAGTACTTTTAGCTGCAATTCCTGGAGCAATGTTCATTTATTTGTACCCCAAATGTTAGTCTACAGATTTAAAAAGTGTGAAGGTTAAACCATATTTGGTTTTCCTTGGTAAAACCGAATTTTATAACCACCTCCTTCATAGTTTTCACATTCTAAACCGTGAAAACTTGATGAACATTTGAGCAACTTCTTTCTTGTTAGCTTCATAATTGTAAAAGCCATTTATAATTGGTGATGTGCCAAATAATATACCATCTGGTAGGTGATGTGTCTTTTTCCGGTGAAATTGATAAGTTCCGGTAGAGAAGGACCAAAATTGCACCAACTTATTAGTTATGGGATGTAATCTGCAGGTACTAAAATTACAGGGCCGATATCGGGTATAGCTATAAGTTACGGGATTGAATCAACAAATTTCTCGGCGATAGAAGAGATTGAGAACAGCGACTCGTTAAAGACTATCACATCGACCAAATCAAATCATTAGACTAAACAAACTCGATAAGATCACATCAGTCTTAAACACATCAAACCATATTTGGACAGTTATAAATTAAATATATAGAGATCAGATATTTATCAGATCTAACCTGAACGGTTCAGACCAGATTAGATCAAAACATACTCAAAAAGATCGACCAAACCAGGCCCGACCAAGTCAGATTAGAACAACAAATTTCAGTCCAAAAGAAAACATAGTAGCTGGGGTGGGATCTCAGGAAGACAATTCACGTAGTGTTAGGCACTCCAGAATTAACAATTTTGTTATTATATTAAAAGAATGACAAAGTTTTAAAAATCATTAATGACTATTAATTTTTAGTAATTTAGTGTATATCACTTTTTGTTGTATCATATTTGTGAAGTTTTACAACTTATTTTTTTTAAGCTGAAAACCAAATTTTATTAAAAAAAAAGATTGATAGCAATACATGCGCTAATGAAGGAATTGAAGAAAGCTAAAGCAACAAAGAAAATAAGCCAAACAAAGAAAGCAAACTAAAGGTTAAGCTTTCAAGCACAATTGTGACCTAGTTTGCATAGAGGAAGCCCGAATAGCAAATTTTTTCTTGTTACGCTGAGAAATAACTGGAGTGAAAGCACAAGTGAGTATATCTTTCCTATTGAATATATTGTTAGAAGAAAATAAATATTAATTAGATTAAATAATATTTAATTCATAATATTAAAAAATGAGATGAATTAAATATTAATTAAATTAAACACATTTAACTCATGGTGTTGAAGAATTGCTCTATTTGATAGATTTAATATAGTGTGATAAATTATACTAGGTATTCATTATACTCAATTAAGATGTATCCATAATTATATAAAGCAGTGACAGTTTTGGTAACTAAATAAAGTGAACAAATTAAGAAAACTAAAATTAGTAAAATAAATATACAGGTGATGGAATGCCCTAATTATTTATTTCATAAGTTTATAGTTAATTCTTGTCCATTTTATTTGCAATAATCACAATGAGTATTTATCCTGATAAGACTAGATTCATTAATGAGAAAGACTTTCATTGTGATTGAGAAATTAATTTAAAAGTAGTTTCAGAAAACGAGATACTGATGACGAAAAGGAAAGGGGTGTGTTTTAGCCATGTCTTGAGAGAAGGAAATTGGGTCGCCCATCTTTATGGTAGATCATTCCGTGGCCCAGCTTCTAATTTTATATCGGGCCTCTGTTTTACCTAGTCCAGCCCAAAAAGCCTATTAATTGGATTTATTTGGTATTCCCTCACTTGGATATTTTTCTTAATGTTTATCATTGGGTCAGGCCTATACTCCCAATGTTTTAGTAATTCTTTGTTTTTTTTTTATGTATTTAAGGAGGAATGCCTCCCCTCTATTTGTTTTCCTATTTTTTTTATTAATAAAACACTGTAAATGTGTTTTGGCATTTACGTATCCCACCAACTTAGGTTGTTTGCCTACCGGGTTAACATAAAAAAATAGTACTAATACATCATCTTCATAATTCATACACCAGATTCAATATTACCAATAACTTCCCGAGGAAAGAGATTTCCCATGTCCTTGAGGGAAATATAACTGTTTATTCAAGAAATTACGTCAATATCAAGGAGCAAGAATTATGTGCCTGCTAAACTAGATGATCTATTAGTTTTAGTTTATAATTAAATTGTTATTATTGTTTACGATTCGTTATCTTTTAGAATCTGAAGATCTGGTTTGAAAAAGTTTAAACATCTTTACTTTCAAGGTACATTATTTAAAATTTCCTAACATTGTTATGTTACTTATGTGCGCGCGACACATCACATGTGAATAATAAAATTATGATTAAAGAATTGTGTATCTAACCGCATGTGAAATTCCACATATATACTTATTTTAGTAATTAAATTGTGCATTATTTGGGAGGAAGTTTCATTATGTTGATATTTTAGTATCTACGTAAGGCATGATCTGTGCGCACGCACTAAAGCTCCACTGAATCACTGATTGAGGGGGAGGACAATATATCTTAATCCATCGAATGCCAAACACGGTTTATTTTAAACCACACTATTTGTACACGCTAAATTACGCGTCAACTTACACGCCTAAGTTTAATTGTCTAAACGGGGTATTTGTGACCCCGAATTGCATAGACGGTTCATTTTTTGAGGGTCACAAACATTATCATTTACTAAAGTTAAAATCAAGGGAAAATTCTCGAAATAGGAGTAAATATATTTGAAAATTCCAAAATAAGACTGACATGTTTGTATTCCCAAAGTTGGAGTAATTAATGTCAAGTTTGGAAAATACTGCCATATTTAAAGTCTGGTACTGCCAAAACATGATATTAATTAGTCTTATTTGAAAATAAAAACATGGCAGTCATATTTTGAAATTTTCAAAAGTGTTTAGTCATATTTAGGGTAATTTCCCTAAAATCAATTGTCTTTTAGGAAAATGGAAACTAATAATCCAACCTTTTAGCGGTCTTCTTACAATAATCCAACCTTTTGGTTATTCATGAATAATCCAACCTTTGCACCTCATCTTCATTCGCTGGTCCCTGACCGGTTGATGACCTGCTATTCCAAGCTATTTTTTTATCTTTGCAAATCATTATACCATAAATCTCATCTTTCACAAAGATAATATTTTGCAAAGATAAGAAAATAACTTGGAATAGTAGGTCATTAACCGACCAGAGACCAATGAATGAAGATGAGGTGCAAAGGTTGGATTATACATGAATAATCAAAAGGTGGGATTATTGAAAGAAGACCGCTAAAAGGTTGGATTATTAGTTTCCATTTTCCCTTGTCTTTTCATAAACAACTACACTTAAGCAATTACACTTGGGCGTGTAACCCTTGCCAGCATGTCCAAGTAGCATTTTTCATTTATTTTTCATCTTAATCTTTCTAAGTTGTTTTTCTTTATGTACTTTTCTCCCCCAAAAATAAAAAATATTACTACGTATAGTATGGACTGTAGATCCGGCCGCTGCACGATACGTTTGTTGTTGCAGATAGTATCAAATTAAAGTGCATCAACAGAAAAACGGTAGAAAAAGAAGGGGAGCTAACAGGAATTGATAGTTACTTAAACTTTCACAAGGGTTTGTCTCTAATAATGTGTATTGTTAGTTTACATCCTCATGTGGGTTCTGTTAAATGGTTTGTTGCATTTCCCTGAATAACCCATTTTTGTTTGGTTCCAACGTCCGAAATGAACACTTTATCACTATTGCGGAAAAAGGAGCCGATGAACTTTCATCTTGTTTTCAATTCATTCTTATTCTGTTTTAATTTGTTAGAGTGCATAGAATCATGTATCATACTTCTGGTAAAATAATAAATGAGGGAGTCCCACTTTTGGTTCGTCATTTATTTCGCATATTGAAATGTAATTCTTGTTGTTTTTTAAGGGCATCTCCATCCATGGGATTATTTAGAGATTATTTTGATGACGTGGATGATATTTTTTTAGATTACGGTTGAGATGTTGGAATTATTTGAGGAGATTATTTGATATCACAATCTGGTATCAAATTCTAAAGCTGGATTATTTTGAGATTATTTCCAACTTTTAGGCTCCACTACAAAAAAACACTCGTTTAGTCACGGACCGTAGTCACGGATTTTGTCCGTGACTAGCCTAGTCACGGACTAGTCACGGATTATTCACGAAAATTCAAAAAAAAAATTAGTCACGGATTTGACCGTGACTACAGCCGTGACTACGCGTAGTCACGGAAATTTGTCCGTGACTAACATCCTCCGATTGCCCGTTTGTTTTTCCGACCTGGCTTGTTTTACTCCGGCGACATAGTCACGGCCAAAGCCGTGACTACATAAATCCTCCCTCAACGGTATTATGTACGGATAAATTTAGTCACGGACATGGCCGTGACTATGTCCGTGACTACTTTGATTAACACGTCATTTACATGTCATTAACACGGATCGGACGCGTAATGGACACGGTTTTGCTTAGTGACGGACAAATCCGTGACTAAGTCCGTGACTACATTTTTTATATATGCAGGAGCACCTCATTCATTCATTCCCAGTATATACAGTATCTGTTTGAAAGATCAAAGGATGTAGTCTGTCTTCTATCATTTTCCCCATTTATTCAGTTAAGGTATGTTATTTGAATTATTATTTTTATTTAGAATTAGCTGGTTCAATTTAAATTATTAAAATTATTAAATTAGTGATGTTGTTAATTAATTAACAACATATTCAACTGTAAGCGTAGTAATGTCATAAAATTAGTTAAACTGTTAGGTTTATAAAATAATTTAATTAAAATTAGTTAGATAAACGTAGTTTTAAACGTAGTTAGTTAAACTTTATGTTAAGTGAAATTAGTTAGTTAAACGTACGTTAGTAATGTGTTAATTAAGTGTATTGTGAATTGTTATTGTAATTGTGTATTATTTATTAATTGAAATGACCTTATATACATGTTCAAATTATTGGGTTTAATTTGGTCATATTATTTAATTTAGTGAATTGGAATTGTTAATTGTGTAGTACTAATAACATTAAATGTCATTAACGTAATAATTTAGTGTAGGTTTAAATGTAGGTTTACAAAAATAATTTAATTAAAATTCGTTAGCTAAACGTAGGTTTAAACGTAGCTAGTGATGTGTTAATTATGTTATATTAGTTAGCTAAACGTGGGTTTAAACGTAGTGATGCATTAAAAGAGGACGGAATGAACTAGTTAAATTTAGTTAAATTTAACTAAATGAATTAGTTAAATTTAGTTAAACGTATGTACAGATTTGAAAGGTTAGTCACAATTTCATTTAAAAAAAGAGTATTTATTTCACAATAACTATTAACATGTGTATTATTGCATTATTGCAGATTTCTAGGAGAGCTGAAAAAGAAAGTGACCAACAAGGCACACGTTGAGGCTTCAATTTGTCAAGCGTATCTTCAACAAGAAATCTCAACGTTCTCGTCTTTTTACTTCGAGCGTGACGTCATCACCAGAAGGAAGAGACCTGCCCGGAACGATGACATTGGCGAGGATTTATATGAAAATGTAGTTTCCATCTTCAATTACCCAGGCAGAGGTAAAGGTGCTGCGACACAACGATACATCGTGGGTGGGGAATTGCAAATTGCACATACTTATATCCTCATGAATTGTCCAGAAATCTCACCGTTTTATCAGTAAGTTAAATTTGTAGTTATAATTGTAATACTTATCAATTAAATTTGTAGTTAATTTATAATTTTTTTATTTTTGAATTCACAGTGAATTCAGAGCTTCTTTATCAGCCTTTCCTGAGAATCAAATTGATGCATTGGTAGACTCTGATTTTGTAAATTGGTACAAGTATCAGGTATATATATACACACACATTAATTATATATATATATTATTAAGTAAGATTTTTCAATATTTACCTAATGTTATTATCATGTTTATATTTACAGATCAATAGTCGTGGGATTGTCGACCCTTTGTTAGTATCATTAGCGTGGGGCCCTAGTGCCAGTGCCAAAGTGTGGCGGCAATATGTGATAAACGGTTACACATATCACACAGCCGATTACGGAGAGGGCCGACCAACAACGAACAGCGGGTTATGTGTCCCGACCATCGGTTATGATAACTCCGAAACCAATTTTTTTGGTGTCCTGCAGGAGATTCTGGAACTTGAGATGCCTTCTGGTGCGAAAAAATTGACATGCGTTCTGTTCCGTTGCACATGGGTCGACCCCACACGTGGCGTGCGCAAAAATCCGAAGTATAATATGATTGACGTCAACCAGTCTCGTGTGTACCCGAAAAATGAGCCTTTCATACTCGCCCAACAAGCAGCGCAGATTTATTATGCAGAATATCCTTCAACAAGGCGGACACAGAATCCTTGGGTGTGTGCATGTCCTGTCCGTCCGAACAAAATAAAATCACAAACTCAACACAAGGACGTTGATCTAGATGCTTTTCAGCAACAATTTTTCCAACCTCCGCCTATTGTTGAGACGGTCAACTATGACATCCAATTAAGTGATCCAAATGGCGGACGTGTTGAAGTCATGCCAGAAACGCACCTTCCGGACCCAACCATTCCATCTGAGCGCGAAATTGAGGAAATGTATGTAGCACAACAAAACGCTCAATATCAGGAAGAAGGTGAATGGATAGACGGTTCAGATACAGAAGAAGATACTGTATATGTAGAAAATGACGATTCTGATAGCGAATAATTGTGCTGTTGTAATTTCAATTTTATTGACTTCTAATATTTGTGCAGATTCCTTCATCATTATATTACTCCAACAATATTTGAATTTTTTTCTATCTTTATCATTATTATTTATGAACAAAAAATTACTCCATATTAATTCAACCACAACAAGTTTTTTATATCCATATTATAAATTCAAAATAAAATTTTTCACAATTCGAAGTTTGAAAATTTAAATTTACCCAATACCAAATATGAAATTACTCTATATTATATTCTTTTATTTTCAAATTCGAAAATTCAAATATTATTTTTGATTTTTCTAAATTCGAAAATTTATTTTAATAATTTTTAATAATTCGAAATTCGAAAATTAATTTTAATAATTCTAAGTCTATTCGAAAATTAACAAAATTCGAAAATTAAAAAAAAAGTAATTTACTTTTACTAATCTGAATATTATAATAAATTTAGATATTAATAAACAACTAACAGAGATTTATTTATCAAATTTCAAAGATAAATACAAAACACACAATGAAATTGTCACATATTATTTATCAAACAACTAACATAGATTTATTTATCACATTAACCTAACTAACATTATTCATTCCTCAATCGGAAACTTTCAAGAGGCCTAGCCCACAACTCCTGAATTTTCATTCGAGCTTCTTCGTTGATCGGGTCCATATACTCTGAAACTTCTTGTGCACGTTGAAGCATCCGACACAAATTTCTTGCTTTTGACTTGCCCAACGAGTCGGATTCTTCATCTTTATAATCGTCAAAACTTTCAAGGGGTCTAGACATCAACTCCTTGATTCTCTCGTATGCTTCCACGGTTTTCGGCTCCATAAGCTCTGTAATCAGCTTAAGTCGTTTCATATCTCTACACATCGAATCCCAGTCAATTGGACCTCTATTAGCCATTTTTTTTACAGTTCACTCTTGGGCCGGAGAAAGATGATTTATACAAAAAAATTTCAAGTTGTCACGGTCTTAGTCACGGATAATGCCGTGACCAACCTGTCAGTCTGGCAGCCGGAGAAGTGTCAGCGCCGCCGGTCTAGTCACGGTTTTATCCGTGACTAGAACCGTGACTAAATTCAAAATTTGAATTAGTCACGGTCTTAGTCACGGATAAAACCGTGACTAAACCGGTCAAAGGCGGCTAATGCCGCGTGGCTGATTTCGCTGAATACGAAGGGTTTAGTCACGGCTATATCCGTGACTAAGACCGTGACTACTTCGTCATATAAAACTAACACTTAGCGATTTTTTTCAAACCTACGCTTCCAAACCCTATTTTCCTCTCAAACTCTTACCCTTCTAACTTCCCCTTCCACCGCCGCCGTCCTGAGTGCAGCGCCGCCGCCGTCCTGAGTGCAGCGCCGCCGCCGTCCTCCGTGCACTGCCGTTGTCCGCCGCTGGTTGCCGCCGTTCACCGCCACCGTCCACCACTCCTTTTTTTTCGCACCTCTCTCTCCACATCAAGGTTATGTTTTCTCAATTAATTTTTTACACACAAATGCATGTTTATGTACTCAAATGCATGTTTATAATTGAATGCCCTAATGATGTATTCTACAATTACATATTTATGTGTATATACATTTAATATGATTATGTGTATATGTGTTTACGTTTATACACACAAATGCATGTTATTATTATGTTCGCATTACAATATTAATTTAGTAATATTGTAATATTAATTTCACATTACAATATTAATTTGCATGCTCAATATTAATCTCTCCACGATTATTAGTTTTGTTTTAATTTCGAATTACAATATTAATTTGCATGCTCAAAGTTGATAAAATTTATTTTTTCTTTTTTGTTTGATTTCTAATACGCATGCTTTAGATATAGTTTGATTCAATTTGATTTTTTGTGTATAAGTTTAATATGCATGCCTAAATATGATTTAATTTTAGGTTAAACAACATGCATGTTTTTTCGATCAAATGCATGATTTAATTTCGGACTTATGCATGAATTATTTAGACATTGTTAGGATTATTATTATTTTATCATCAATCAAATTTATTATTTCCGAATTATTTAAAAAATACCCCCTCATGTCAAAGTTCCAAAAAAGTTTAACATGTTAATTATAAAATATTAATTTAGACATTAAAAACTATTTTCCGAAATAAAATATAAAATATATATTATAAAAAACAGTTTAATAATATACTGTTTTTTATTAAACAGTTTAATGAAAAACAGTTTGACAAAAAAAACAGTTTAAAAAAAAACAGTTTGATAAAAAACAATTTAATAAAAAACAGTTTAAAAAACAGTATAATATTAACAGATTGCAATCAAATAAAATCAGATTTTAATAAAAAACAATAAAAACTGCTTTCCAAAATAAAATATAAAATATAGATTATAAAAACAGTTTAATAGATAACTTATTTTTAAACCGTTTAATAAAAACTTTTTTTTATTAAAAAGTGAAATATTAATCATTTTTGAAGTTTAAAACAATCTGTTTTTCATTTTTTATGAAAAACAGATTTTTTATTCAACAATTTTTATTAAAAAGTGAAATAATAAAAAAACAGTTTTTAATAAAACTGTTTATATAAAACTGTTTTTATATAAAACTGTTTTTATAAAACTTTTTTATATAAAACTTTTTTTGTTTAATTTTTTTTTTATATACACTGTTTTTTTATAAAACTTTTTTTAAATAAAACAGTTTTATATAAAAACAGTTTTGTATAAAAACGGTTTTGTATATAAACGGTTTTATAAAACATAGTACGAAAAGTTAAAAAATAGTACGAAAATTCAAAAAAATATATTTTTTAACATGTACGAAAATAAATGTTTTACACATTTTTAATTGATAAAACTTGTATAAAAATTTGATCTTCTATTATGATCATACTAACATTCAAAAATATCCCCTCATGTTAAACTTCCAAAAAAGTTTAACATGTTAATTATAAAATATTAATTAAGACAATCGAAACTGTTTTTCGAAGTTAAATATAAAATATAGATTATTAAAAACACATTAACAATATACTGTTTTTTTATTAAACAGTTTAATGAAAAACAGTTTGATAAAAAACAGTTTAATAAAAAAAAAATTAAACTTGCCTAAAGTTTAACATGTTACATTTTATAACAATTTATAAAATTACCACCCCTCATATTAAACTTACACACAGTTTAATATGTTTTACACATTTTCAATTGATAAATGTATAAAAATTTGATCTTCTATAATGATTAGACTAATATTTAAAAATATAAATTATTATATTTTAGATGAGCAATGAACAATCAACCTCGCGTACCCGCCCAAACTATGTGCCCTTAACCGAAGCTGAGCGCAACAATGAAAACGCGCTTTGGGTGACGCCCCACATGGTTGCGAAGTAAGTAACTATGAATTTTATCTAACGTGAAATAATTTTTTCAATGTATCATAATGTAATCAAAACTTTAATAAATAAATAATCTTAATTTTCTGAAGCGATCAAGAAGTGTTGGACCAAATCAAAGTCATAATTGGAGGACACTTTCTTGGAAACTGGGCAGCATACACAGAAGTAGACCCCAAGGTTCGTGAACTTTGGTGGAACCTTTTCAAGGTAAAAAAATGAATTTTCTCTGCGTAATTGTATTAACGTAACATTTAATAAAAGATAAATTAATTTAATTGTTTTTTATAAAGGGTCGGTTTCGATGGACTGAAGCCCAAGGTCCAGCTATTCTTAGAGCGTATAACGCTAGGATTTCAAATTGGCTTCGTCCTACTTTTAGGCGTGCCCGAACGAGCGGGGTAAAGCCTGGATGGTGTTCGGATGAGGTGTGGGCTAACCTCGTCCGTCACTGGTCTTCTGATCCAAACTTCTTGGCAAGAAGTCAATCCGGTAAGAAAAACCGGATGTCCGAGAAAGCCTTAGAAACCCAATGGCATGGGGGCCGCAAACCTCAGAGTAGACATAAGGAAGATCTTGTAAGTATTTTTCAAAAAACTTTACACAATTACAACCCTTTATTTTAACAATTAATTATGGATCTTAAGCCTTTTTTCCAAATTGTAGTCGGGGCCTGAGAAGAAGAAGGTCTCAATTCTCAAGGTCATCAAGCACTGCTGGACAAAGCACGGCGATGAGTCCGATGCCGATCTGCCACCCCGCCTCGCTGAAATCGAAGTAAGTAACACTATTTTGTTACTTATTTCCATTCAAAATCAAATTGAGTAACATTAAATTAACAATTTTTGTACATGTAGTCAAAGTATAACACAAATGTTGAGAAGAGGCGGGCAGAATTAGGCTTGACTCAGGAGGATGAGATTGATTCTGATGTGGAGGATGATGCCATCTTTGAGGCAGTTGGGGTGTACAAGGGCCGGGTCCCGTGCATGGGGGCTGAGGGGCAACGGATCTTGTACGACCGCAGCGGTGCTTCATCTTCCCGATCAAGGCGCGGAGAGGATCCGCGTATCGCTCAAATGCAGCGGGAGATGGAGGAGCAGCAGCGGGCCTTGGCTGAGCAGCAGCGCGCCTTGGAGGAGCAACGCAAAAAAGATGAAGAAACAAGGGCCCGGCTGGAAGAGATGGAACGGATCCTCAGCGCCGGAATTCGGAATCAGCCTCAGCCTCAGCCGTATGTACTGCACCCCGAGCAGACACCTCAAGTTCCGCACATGGGCGGTTATTTCCGTACCAACTCTGCTACCGGGTTGCCTTCATTTGGTTCTATTCAGGATATCAATTTTCACAACCTGTTTCAAACATCTGGAGGCAGCCAAGCAGGTGGTAGTCGCGGAGGTGGCAGTCGCGGAGGAGGCAGTCGCGGTGGCAATCGAGAAGGCCAAGCTGGAGACAACCGAGAAGATGAGACCGAAGAAGATTACCTATATGATGATTCTAGATATTATCATAATGGTAACCGGAGGAGCTTGTAAATGATATACATTTTTATTTGAACATTGTTTATTTACTATAATTCTATTGTGCTTATTATTACTTTTATTTCAGTCTGTTTGGTTATGAAATGTGTGTTCTAGTAGTCGTTTATTACTTTTATTCTACAAATATTTTTTAAAATAAACTTTTCTAAAGAATAATTAAAAAAAAAATTATTTTTTTTATAAAACAAAAAAACTTTTTTTTTAAAAAAAAAAAACTTTAGTCACGGATCCGAGCCGTGACTAAATTCTAGACCGATTTTAAAAAAGTTATATAAAATTTCAAATTTAATTTTTTTTTTTAAAAATAAAAAAGTAGTCACGGATCAAGTCCGTGACTAAAATTTGAAATTTGAAAATTTAAACCGTAACATTTGGCGGTTCATTTTTTTAAATTTGAAAGTTTAGTCACGGATTTGTCCGTGACTATATTAGTCACGGAAAAGGCCCGTGACTAAGTCGCCGGTGTGGTTATTCCGGTGACAAGTTAGTCACGGAAACGGTCCGTGACTAAGCCGTGACTACGCTAAGTCACGGATAAAATGACCGTGACTAGAATTAGTCACGCCCAAACAGTCACGGTGTTAGTCACGGACAAAGTCCGTGACTAGCGGAGTTAGTCACGGATTTTTTATACTACGGTCCGTGACTAAATCCGTGACTAACTCCGTGTTTTTTGGTAGTGCTCCTCTCCCCATTTTCTAGGCATATACTCATAATTAAGGTGATGACTAGCTTTGTAGTTCGTGCATGTCTCATAAAAAAACCTAGGTAAATTAAGATCATAGATGAGAAGAAATTGATATGTTTGGAGATTATTTGAGATTTTTTTATATGCAAGTGACATGACAATAATAAGTCATAAAAACCGTAAAATTGAGTGTCATGAATAAAGATGCTCTAATTGGATATGCAAGTGTTGTTCATTAAATGTATAGCAAATTGTAATCACCTTTAGAGCCCGTTTGGAGAACTCTGTTTTCGGCTTATCAGGCTTATCAGCCAGCTTTTTCACCAAACACGTAACTTTTACTTTCGCGCGCTGAATTGTGTAATAAGCCGAAAAAGTAAGGTTGGAGTTACTTTTCTGGCTGTATTGGCTGAAGTTACTGTAGAGGACCATTTTAACTATTTTTACATATAATTTTTTCTTTAATTTATTAATAAAATATATTTTTAAAATATTTTTTTCTTAAATCAGCAGAATCAGCCAAAACAGCCACTCCAGCCAGAATATCATAAATTTCAGCAGAATCAGCCAAAACAGCCGATTTTGGTGCTACCAAACGGGCTCTTAATTAATGATATACGGAGTAACAAATTCCAGTCTTACATTATTCACGGCAAAGGTTGTAACTTTATTGCATAACACTGCCTCCATATCATAATTAATAAGTGCCCGGTAAAGTTTTGACATAGTTTAAGATAGTTTATAGTATCGTACAATATTTAAAACCGTAGAATCTTTTTTATACTCTAGTAGTATAGTTTACTTTACTAAAGCGTCATGTAGCTGCTTTTGAGTTAGATTTTCTTTTATAAATGGAAGTGTGATACTTATTTTACATACGTGTCAAAACTAAAATGAAATTGTGATACTTATTTTAATACGTGTCAAAACTGAAATGGTAGTGTGATACTTATTTTAATGCATGCCAAAACTGAAATGGGAGTGTGATACTTATTTAAATACCTGCCAAATTACTGAAAGTGTGACATTTATTTCAATTAGGAAGGATCATAAGCAACGAAATTTTCACATGTTTTTAATGGAGCTTGCTACATTATTTTACCGGAAAACTGTCAATGACTAAATTTTCAATTTATTGCACAACTAAGGGATGAAACAAGAATTAAAAGGGAAAAGACTACATTTCAATATCCGATACAATAAAGGCAATTTTGTAAGAAATGTGTTAAACTAAAATTGTCTTTTTTTGTCAAATTAATGCAGAAAAGAAACTTCAAAATTATTTTTTGCTATTATTACATACAAGTAATTTATACACGGAAGTAAAGTTTTGGTATATATGGCTGGTGGGTAAAAACATGTAGTGAGATGTTTTTAGTTTGACTTATTTCAGTCGCAATCAATTAGACTTGACTTAAATAGATTACAATAGATCAAACTAATCAAGGGTAAAGTGCACCTACTTATCAACTAGACTAGATCAAATTAAACAGGTGATCGAACCCTGTCAAACTAGAAAAATTTAGTATAAACATCCTTGCTACGTGTTGTGCCTTTTTCATAAGTGTCTTTTAAGTTTTAATGTAACTTTTGATGAAAAGTTATGAGAAAGCAAAAATTGTAAGCCATTCAGAAATCGGAAAAGGGTGAAGAACATTCTGAGGGGCCATTACAAAAAACATTCTGAGGGGCCCGAGTGTATTACATTTGAATATCCAAATAGGAATAAATGATTGGATTTTTCAAAATAAGATCATTATATATATTTTATTTAGCCAAATACTCCCTCCGTCCCAATTTGTTTTGCAAAGTCAACATTTTTTGGTCAACCAATAATAAAAGTCAATGTTCCGTATGTCTATTTAATTCAATTTTTAATAATTAAAATTTACATATTCATAAACTACATTAAAATCTCTTCAAAGTTGTAAACTCCAAATTAGAATATGATTAAAAATTGACATCCTAATTAAGTGAACAAAACGAAACTGTTTGACCAAGAAAAGTCAAATTTGCAAATCAATTTGGGACGGAGGTAGTATGAGAAATGATTGTCATGGATCGAAATAGGCAATTATGAATGTATAATGTCAAATTCAAAGGCTGGTAACATCAAAATATGATAGCAAATTTTTAGGATGGTAGTAAGCAAAAGTACTTCTATTTAGGTAATAAAAAGTGCTCTTTTTTCGAAATCTTACATTACTTTTACTTCTATTTCATAAATTTCCCCAAAAAGTACACATTAATTCTGTCCTAAATTGAAAATCAAGACAAAAAGAGGTTTGCCAATTTGCGCAAACTGACATCAAGTAAAAAAAGGGAAAACCCGGCCAGCTGGTCCATCAAGTAAACTGACATTTATTAAGGAGCATATATATAAGCACTCTATTATACGAAGTATTAAAGAGAAAGTTACAAAAAAAAGTCTGAAACTCCAACTTTTTGTATTTCCAACCAAAAAGCACAAAAATTCTACATGAATATCGCAAATAAACCTCTAAGACGTGAGGACAATTCAATGATTAGAAAGCGTACAAAATGATACGGAATATCATTAGAGTTGGAAGTGTTTCAAAAGACTATCTTCTACTTTTATTTGGTAATCGATTGGTTACTTGGACGATTAAGACAGAGTACGTATGTTGTGTGAACGTATAATTGTTTATTTGCCACTAACGTATCCCATGGTGAGTCATGACTCATGAGTGAGCTGGCCTATGACCATATATGACATGTGCTTTTGTATTTCCTAATTCAATATAAATGGCCTATGACCATATATATGACATCATTTAAGGATGAAAAATAAGGGTTGTAATGAATAGCGTATAAAAAGTATGAGAGAGTGCTAAAAATTTAAGAGGATGGTCGAAAAAAGGAAAAAGGAATGGTAATTATACTCAACATTTTTTTAGGAAACTTGCTAAAAAGAGAAAGTAGAGCAAAAATTTAAATACTTTCTAAATAGGAAATTAAAGTGTAGTAAACTTTAAAATAAGAAGTATAGAACTACTCCGTATTATATTCTGTATTATTGGAATTTCTTTGTAAACACATGCGGAGTATAATTATTCATTTAAGGTATTTATTATTACATGAGTAATCCTAATAATTAAAAATATAAGGAAATAATAAGGCTACTTTCAAAATTTTCGAATGTAAAACTCCATTCATGCGGTATATTATTTTCTATATTATTTATAATAGTATCTTTACCCGTGCCGTGCACGGGATAAAATGACTTTATTTTTTATTTTACTATATATGTGTACACGCATATTTTAAATAAAATGACTATATTATTTACTATATTTTATTTTTTATTTTTATAAAATGACTTTATTTTTTATTTTACTATGTATGAGTTATATATCATAAGTCCATAACTAATGGAAAGTCGGTTATTTAGTTGATTATAAGATTGGTTGATAATACATACTCTTGTTTATTGAGCATATCTTGTTTTTGAACTAATTATCTCAACATGTTTTCAGCTTATATTTTTCAATTAAAAGAGACAATTTTGTTTATAACTCTCAGTTGCATCCAAATGCAATTAGTCTTTTCAACCATTTTTACCTAAAAAAAGGTAATTGATCAATGCCTATTTTTATCAATTATGTTTCATATATGACTGTTTTTTCAAAACTAACTACACATTTTCATAATTTATATATTTAATTTAATAATGGTGTAATCATTTTTATAAGATAATAGATTTTCTAAAATTTTGAATTTGGCAAATTAGTCATTCGATCTCTTTCTTTAAAAAAATATTTCAAACCTATATAGTTCGTGACAGTCTAGTTTTTATGAATTTGAGAACATGCTACATAACATGATTGATAGTGAATGATTTATTTTTTGTTTGATTGGTTTGTTAAGGGTATTATGATTTTATATTAAGTAAAATAAGTGTTCTTGAACGAAGAAATGTTGCATATTGTACACTTTTAGTAGACAATTTTTACCTAGATGATGAGATGAATTTAAACAATAAAAAGAATCTCACATCAAGTGGTAGCTACTAAAAAAACATAACATGTCACATCAAGTGGTATCTACTAATCAAGACATAACATGTCAAACTATGCAACGAAAAATAAAAAAGACAAATGTCCTCAATTTCCATAACCAAATAGTACTATATTATAGTAACATCCACAAGGAAAAGAATTGTCATTATACACAACCTAGCTTACTTATCGAGCTCTTAAGCACCACTTTTAATGTGAGGATATGATTGATGTATGCAATTAATAAAACTTTCAGAGATTGAAATGAAAGATGACAAATTCTT